CTGGTGGTGGTTGGCCGGTCCAAATGGTGGCTCAATGAGGGACCGAACCAACCCGGACCGTGTCGCCTTGGTAGCGTTGCCGAGTTCCAGGGTGGTCACCCGGGGACCGATGGTGAAGACGGCGGGCAGGACGAAGGGCAGCTTCTTGGAGCTCTACCAATACCCACACCTTCTTCACCGGCTAAGTCCTTGATGCCCCAGCCGGTAATGGCCAGGTACTACGACGCGTACGCGGCGATGAAGCTCGCCGTTGACTGTTTTGCCGGATGTACCGTTAGGTTTTCTTTCCTTCTTACCTACATAGGACATAGGAGTGTTGACCGATCAAAGGAAATAAATAGAACCTGTTAGTACATATAGAAAAAATGCCTGTGCGATGCAACGGACCTATCAAACTTGTTTTACGTGATCTCGATTTATGTAATCAATTAATTACGTGATTTCTGTTGTATGTTCTTTCTCTATTCCAAAATTTCACTCACGCGAGTAAAAAGCATTTCACTGTCTTATGCAAGTAGTTCAGTGCATACATATGCTACTCGTTCATAATTGCAACCTGAACAGAGTAAAAAAAATTGGTTCGATGCATGGATGGATTGACGGGAACACAATGTCTAACGAAAAGGATAAGAATCACGTTGGCATGCATAGGTGATTTGAAATTTTAAAAATATAGCATCTACATCCGCGCATCATGAGGAACAATTTCAGAGAAAAAAGTTGATCCAGTCAAGTGTATCTTTGGATATTTCATTATCCACTTAGGCCATATTAGTATTACTTCCCACGTGGTGCACATCATCCGGATGCATGGGTGTGCCTCGGCCCTTATATTGCAAATGTTATTATTGCAGGAAGAGCACACATTCATAAGCTAACAGTTTCACAATGCGTTCTTGCTGATAGTAATTGAACCAAATGAAAAGATGGACAAGCAGATTGATTAAGGAACTCTAGGTAATAGTTCATGCCGTAAGCATTGGCTCAAAAAGTTAATTTGTAAGTAACAAAAAAAGGCCTAGAAGAATAGTTCTACCTAAATAAAGTTTACTGTTGCACATGAGCAGATCCACACGAAGCAGAGGGGAGGTGGAGCAGGCCGGTAACCAGGGGAAGGGGCAGAGTGGGAGAAGATTTACACCGCCGTCTCCACTGAATATGGTGTCCCCGCCGCATCTGTGGAGGCGCCGCGGCTCCGCCTCGGATGGTGCTCGCGGCTATGGTGAAGAGGAGGGGCGACGCATGGGTGAAGAGGCAGGCAGTGCTCGTGGCCAAAAAAGTGGGTCGTTCGAGCTGCGGGAGGGAGGAGGGGATCGCCGGGAGGCGGCGAGATCGGTGGGCGGCGGCGGCAGCCAGGTAGGGAAGTCGAGGTAGGGCGCTGTGTTTTCTTAGGGGAGTTGCTTGTGAAAATAACATGCACCGACGAAGTAGCTAGCGGATCCCCTTAAACAAGACGTAGCGAGCGGATTCCCTTAAGGTAGGAATGGATACGATTGATGACGTTGATAAATATTGATGAATGTTGGCCTAATTTACTATCATCATGCATGGAAACGAATCATCAAGAAAAAGAATACTTCTTATTACTACGCTCATAGGAAGCTTGCTAATCTCTGCTACCAAACAGTTTCTGCCCAAACAAAGAAAGAAAGTTATGGACGTGATTCGCAAGGAAACAAACGTTATGAAGACAAATGAATTTAGATTTGATCTTTAGAGATTGATTGTGATTGATTCTTTTACATAAAGATATTACTGAATAATTTGCGTCAGTATGAAAAGTTCTGATCCGTTCAATTTTTTTCGTTGTGTGAGGCGAATATAAACCGATAAAGTAGGGGAAGGAGACGAAAAAAAATCTACGAAAAAAACCCAGCGAAGGTGAGAGGAGATACCAAAAAAACCACGGACAAAAATAAACCCGAAACAGAGACTACCAACTGAGACATTAGGAATAAGACATTAGGAATAGAGATTTGGTCAATTTCTTAGGTAACTTTGCCTGTAAGCGTCTTCGTGGCCACTGCCCACTCTACTCTTTTGCCTTCTCGCAGGCCAAATTCATGTCTTCCCTCGCTCTTTTCCACGGCCCATTCTCCTACCACCGCGCTCCTCCCTTGTCGCCGACCGGCACCTCTCCACGGCCGACGCGACCCGCAGCGCATTCTTCTCCTTCCCACCCCAATTCGCGCCCCCTCCCTGAAGCCGATGAGCTCCGGTCCCACGCAGCGGCGCTGCAGGACTGCGCCGTCCGCCGAGCGCTCCGCTGCGGACAGGAGCTCCACGCGCGGCTGCTCCGCTGCGCGCGGCAGCCGGACACGTTTCTCCTCGACTCGCTCCTCAACATGTACTGCAAGTGTGGCCGCCTGGCGGACGCACGAAGGGTGTTCGACGGAATGCCACACAGAGACGTCGTCGCCTGGACCGCCCTCTTATCCGCCTACGCCGCCGCGGGAGATGCCGAGGAGGCTCTGGACCTGTTTTGTCAGATGAACCAACAAGGTCTTGCGCCTAACGGGTTCACGCTCGCTTCGGTGCTCAAGGCCTGCTCGGTGATGAGCTCACACTCCGAGTTTACGCGTCAGGTGCATGGTCAGGTGGTTAAGTTGCAAGGTCTGGATGATCCCTACGTTGGCTCGTCCCTTGTTCAAGCTTACGCGATCCATGGGGAGGTGGACGCTGCTGAGACCGTGTTGCTAGGCTTGCCCGAACGAAGCGACATGTCATGGAATGCTCTGCTCACTGAGTATGCTCGGCAGGGCGACTACAGAAAGGCCATGCATGTTTTCCATAAGTTGTCCGAATTTGGTGATGAGATAAGCAAGTATACTGTGCCTACTCTTCTTAAGTGTTGTGTGGAACTCGGTCTTGCAAAGTCTGGTCAGGCTCTTCATGCATTGGTGGTCAAGAGAGGGCTGGAAACCGATAACGTGCTGAAGAATTGCCTTGTTGAGATGTACTCGAGATGTCTATCTGCTGAAGAGGCCTATCAAGTCTTTATCAGGATAGATGAACCTGATGTGGTGCATTGCAGTGCCATGATCTCTTCTTTCGGTCGACATGGTATGGCCTGGGAAGCATTTGATCTTTTCGTAAAGATGTCAGACATGGGAGTCAAACCAAACCAATATACATTCGTGGGCATTGCTGGTGTTGCATCAAAGACTGGTGATGCAAACCTTTGTCGCTGTGCTCATGCGTATGTTGTGAAAAGCGGGCTGGCTATGCCAAAATTAGTGGCTGATTCCATTCTAAATATGTATGTGAAAGTTGGTGCTGCTCAAGATGCAACAGTTGCTTTTCATCTTATGCATGAGCCTGACACATTTTCATGGAACACATTTCTCTCCGGATTTTATAGTGGAAGCAACTGTGAGCAGGGTTTGAGGATTTTCAAGCAGATGAAGTGCGAAGGCTTTTCAGCCAACAAATACACTTATGTTGGTGTTTTGAGATGCTGCACTAGCTTGATGAACCTGATGTATGACACTCAGGTTCATGCATGTGTTCTGAAAAGTGGGTTGCAAAGCGATAATGATGTTTCAAGAATGCTACTTGACATGTATGCGCAATCTGGCTGCTTTACAAGTGCGTGCCTGGTATTTGATCGACTGGAAGAAAGAGATGCTTTCTCGTGGACAGTGATTATGTCAGGATATGCTAAAACGGATGAAGCTGAGAAGGTGATGGAATGTTTCCGTTCAATGTTGCAAGAAAACAAAAGGCCTAATGATGCTACACTAGCAGTTTCATTGAGTGTTTCCTCTGATATGGCATCCTTAGGCAGTGGGCTCCAACTTCATTCATGGGCCATCAAGTCTGGCTGGAACAGCTCAGTTGTTTCTGGTGCTCTAGTTGACATGTATGTGAAGTGCGGGAACATAACGGATGCTGAGATGCTATTCTATGAGTCAGAAACATGTGATCAAGTTGCATGGAATACACTCATCTGTGGTTATTCTCAACATGGTCATGGGTACAAGGCACTGGACACGTTCAGACGGATGGTAGATGATGGGAAAAGGCCTGATGATATCACATTTGTAGGTGTTCTCTCAGCGTGTAGCCATGCAGGATTACTTGACGAGGGAAGGAAGTACTTTCAATTGCTGAGTAGTGTCTATGGAATCACTCCTACGATGGAGCACTATGCTTGCATGATTGATATTCTGTCCAAGGCTGGAAGACTAGCCGAGGCTGAATCTCTTATCAATCAGATGCCATTGATCCCGGATTCATCCATATGGAGGACGATTTTGGGAGCTTGCAGGATACATGGAAATATCGAGATTGCTGAGAGAGCAGCAGAAAGATTGTTAGAGTTAGATCCACAGGATGTTTCTTCTTCTATATTGTTATCAAACATTTATGCAGATTTAGGAAGGTGGAGTGATGTTACAAGACTTAGGAATATGCTACTAGATCATGGAGTAAAAAAAGAACCAGGGTGTAGCTGGATTGAAGTCAATGGCCAGATTCATGTATTCCTGTCGCAAGATGGATGTCCAAAATATTAAGAATTTGTTACAACGTGCATTCGGTTCCCACAATCTGAAATGCCACCATGGGCCGTGCCCATACATAAACTATGAGACCAGGAGCTGGTTTGAAGTAGATATGGCTAGTTCTGCAGGCTGATACAAAGTGCCAAGGTAAATCCTGTTTATAAATATGATTACTGAAAATGCCACACCTGCATTAGCAGATCACTACCACTCTGTTACACTGTTGACTGTTTTATCTCATTTAAACATGCTGTTGGGTCCCTGAACTTGCCTGTAGAGTTTGATGGGCAAGTCTTGATTCTAAATTTAATCACATATGCTATCCTGCAGTTTGATAAGAGACGCAATGTGCAGAAAATCCACCGACATAGTCAGTGCAATTATTTGTTACATCATATACTAGGATGAATTCTGACCGAGGACAGTTCCTTGGTGAGGCATGTGAAAATGGTCACGCAATCTTGCCTGTAACGTGAGCTAGGATATGGTTACGGATCAATTTGGGATAGGGAGAGTCTGATGGTGACCCACTTCCATTGATATTGGATTGCTCATGTCACATTTGTAGTCCAATTGGGACCCCTGTGCATGTGAGGTGATCAGCTTGTTCACCAGCTTAAGCAGGATCCTTTCGAATTCCTCGCCACTAGACCATGGATGAACCTCAGCTTTGATAAGCTGGGGATCGCTGCTGATGAGACTCCAGAGGGGATAATTCTCCTTTGGCATGACATAGTCCCCTTCCCCTAGCTTAAGAGAGGGGCAGTAATCCCCCTTCCCATCACCGATGTAGATGAAGTGCTTGTTCTTGGCACTGTCTGTCCCTTGAATCCTCTGGATTATCTTGCCCTGCAATGACAAGTGAAACTTTAGTTCATGGGTGGCAAGGTCGGTTTTCACCACTTTTCAGATGAGTAAATGCACTGAGGTTTCAGCACACACAATATTTTATCAATCGTTTGACAATACATCATGCCTAATACTCCTTCCGTTCCAAAATAGATGACCCAACTTTATACTAAATTTGTACTAAAGTTAGTACAAAGTTGAGTCATCTATTTTGTAATGGAGGGAGTAAGACTCTAAATGCAGAACACATCGTTATATATACCGAGTGACATAAATTGTTTCTTTTGTCTCCATCACCCACGTGCATCGAGTGAATCTGTGATTTTAACACGTGAACTGATCTGCCATCCTACTGTCCATACCTTGCACATGTTGTCAGGGCACAGGCTGCAACCATGGGGCGAGCTGGTGGGATCATGGAACGGCGAGATCCTGAGCCTCCCTTGGGCGTCCACGCGCGCGGGGTTGGTGTTGATCTCAGAGAAGCAGCCGAGGACGCCGTGATGCTCCAGGACGGTCTCGATGAAGAAGGAGTTGGCGTCGCTCACCACCTTCAAATCACACCTGCGACGCACACCTACCACCATCAAGATCCAATCCAACCACCCGGCCGCGTGGGGAAATCAAGAACACATCGGCAAATCGGCATCGGTCCATTTCATACCCTAATGCCGACGCCGTCCGGATGGCGGAGAGGACGTGCGCGTCGAGCGGCGCGCTCCTGAGGCACTCGCGGATGTCGTCGGCCGACCTCCCCTGCGCGTGGAGCTCCCCCATCATCCTGTCCTGGAAGACATCAAGGCCCCACTCAGCCGGGAGAAGCGCCATGCGTGTCTAGGCGGGTGTGTGGGCGTATCGTGTTCGACTGTTCGTACCATGAGGGAGTTCCAGCGCATGGTGGGGCGCAGGCGGTTGAAGGCGTCGGCGGCGCCGAGCTTGGTGATGACCCAGTCGTCGCTATCCCACTGGATGATGGTCTTGTCGAAGTCGAACAGCACCACCACGGCGGCGGCGGCGGGAGCGGCCATCTCCGGGAAGAGACGGCGGATGGTGCTTCCTGCCTCCGACGTTTGCGATACGAGACTCCGGCGTGGCTTCTGTTTGTTTGTTGGTGGCGGCGTCTCGGACTCTCGGTGTGTTTTTATAGCAGCCACAGCCGTGTGGCAGCTGATGACCTGGGAAGGCTTCCACACCGCCACTTGTGACCTCTCTCGTGTGTTTGTGTTTCCATTCGCTTTGTTCGCCCTTCGCCGTAGCATAACTGTTGTCTGTACTCGATTGGCTGCCTTTGCCTTCGCCTTTGCATGGTGCTTTGTCATCACGATAAAGATGGTTCATCGCAAAGTTTATTAGTATTCCATCAGAAGAGTTGACCGATACAATTTTGTGCAAGTTTACACCTCCTTTGGCTAGCCTTTTTTGTGGGCTAAACACACTCCACTCTATTGAACATCGACAATGTTTATGGGGATACAATTGTGGCCAGGAGGCTGAACGAGCCACACGTGGCACCCTTTAGAAAGACGTAGATCATGCTTAGACTATGTGCCTTGATATCGGATTTTCTCCCTTCAAAGATGAAGATACAGCCCGAAGATTAGAGGCCGACAAACTGATCTCGTGAATGATATTACCATAGCTTTCTCCTGTGCCCTTGTTGATGTCATCAATAACGCCCTTGCAATAGGGGGTTGTGGCCTGCATTAAATCTAAAGCTAGAGCGAGCGCTTCTCGGCAAGCCAATGCTTTAAGGATGGGAGGATCAATCATACTAGAGAAAGAAATTGCCGAAGAACTGAGATACACTCCCTCTAAATTTCTACACACAACGCTAATAAATCTCATGTTGGTAGTGTTGGCCACTCCTCCATCGACTTTTACAAAGCCTGCAGATAGTGGAATCCAATGCACCATGGGTTTAAAAGGTTCAGCATAACGAACACCTGGCAGGGGACTGATGAAGACACCGATATAGCCAGATCAAAAAGATAGTGGTGTATGAATGCATATGTGTTGCAGCCGGGCTCTGAAACTCCTCCTCATGAAGTGCCTTTCGAAGAGCATGCGAGATAGCCCATAGCATCACCGGAAGCAAAAGAAAATCATCATGCGGCAGGCTTTCCAATAGAGTGAATATCCATCTCCTCGCGTTTGGCTCCCTAGTGGTGCTCAAGATTTCAACCAAGTTAGGATCCGCTAAAGCCCACACACACCTTGACATGTTACATTCAAGAGGTGAGTGTATTCACGAGTCTTCAGCTACGCATAACTCACAAGCGTTCGTTGTAGACATACTTAGGTGTTGGAGGAGATCCGCCGTAGGTAGAGATTGTCGTGACAGACACATTTTTAGCTTAGAAGGAATTTGAACCAACCAAATTCTTGTCCAAGTTTTTTGGTCCCTTTCAGACTTTGAAGAATCAACATTACCTTCTAGCTAAGCCTCTCGATGATGTTTTGTTGCAACCAACATGCAATAGGACGATCGAACAGAATTTTTTTCCTTCTTGTCAAGTTCTCCATGAAAAAACATGTGACAACTGTCTGGTGCACAGAGGAATAGGCAAAAAAAAACGTCTCTTGTACCTTCTCCTGGTACCATGACGCGAAATTATAATAAATGAGTTCCCTAACAAACTAAGGTGGATTTATCATAGAGTTAAGTGATAGGACACATATTATAATCCCTTGGGAGCCAATTGTGCCTCCAAATGTCAATGGAATGTCCATCAATAATTCTCAGGACCAGGCCCTGAGCAAGAATATGTCTTCCCTCAAGAATAACTCTCCAAATATGTGATGATGCATTAACCAATTTTACTTGCAACAAATCAATAATAGGAAAATACCTTGCTTTAAGAAAACAAGCACTAAGGGAGTTCGTATCCCGAAGAGTGAACCAGCGTGTCAATAATGCAAGAGTAAACAACTCAAGAGCTGACCGTTACTCCGAAATAATCTTGGGTAAAATGAACTTCAAATGGTTTGGAACTACCTTGGAACTGATCATCTCATGTCTGGGACGAATTGAGGGGAGGACATCTGTGTCCATAAAATGCCTCGAATGGTGAGATGGTAAATGTTGTCGTAGGAAAATATTGCATATAACAAGTTTTCTTCCCATTCAGCACCATAAGTCAATGTACAATAACTAAGCATACCTTCCAGTATATGGTTCACTCTTTCCGCCTTCCCGTCCGTTTGAGGGTGGTCCATTGTGTTGTGCCTTAGTTTAGTTCCCAAGGCCCAAAGGAGACGGAGCCATAATGATGAGGTTAACTGTCAGCCTCAGTATGATACAATCGACTTGGGTACTCTATGGGGGCTTAAGATTTTGGACATGTATATCTGAGCTAATTGTTCTACCCAGTAAGTGGTCTTCACTAGAATAAAGTGAGCCATTTTGGTGAATCATGCATAATAACTCATATGGAGTCATGGTCTTTGGATGACTTGGGTAACCCGATGATAAAGTCCATACAGACATTGTACCATTTCTATTGCGAGACTTGTAAGGGTTGAAGCAACCCATCGGCGCCTTTGGTGTTCATCTTTGACTTTGTTGCTACATTGCAACAAGAAATGTAAGATACAATGCCCTTTCACATACCTTGCCAAATATTTCCTTCAAGTCTCGGTATATCTTGGTACCTTCGGGGTGGATGGAATACAAGGACTCATGCATTTCTTGAAGTATTTGCAGTTATAGTTGGCTTGCTTAGGTACACATAACCGGGTGCCGAACCAAAGCATACCTTGGTCATCATAGCAAAATTTCTAGTTTTTCCGTTTTGGACCTTCTGCTTGATCCCTTCTATGCTAGGATGCTTTACTTGGGCCTTCTTAATTTCTTCCTCATGTGTGAATGTTACCTCCAGGGTGTTCAAATTTATCAAGCCGCTGAATGTCAGGTTGATCTTGGAAAACTCCTCTTGAACCATAGTATTTTCAATGAGAGTGAAATGCACAGAATCATCATTTTCGTGTCACAACTCGCGAAAAACCACCACTTTACAATACTTGTCATTTTGCACCGAACCGAAGAATTGACGTTCGCAAAAAACACTGATTCATTTTATGAGCGCATTTTGACGTGGCTAATCCCTCACGGTTCGAAAGCTGTGACGACGCGCCGTTAACGACCGTTAATGGCTCTGTCCGAAGCGACTGGGCCGGCCCTCACTCCCATCCCTCGCCCTCTATCCCTCTCCTTTTTCTCGCGGGCATGGTGGGCATGGTGGCGGTGGCGGCTCCGGATCCATCGGCAAGTGATGCGATCATCGATAGAAAACGATGGCGTGAATAATTTTCCCAATCTTTCACGGTACAATATCACCTGAGCCACGTGGCGCTCGCAATCTTGTAGATGCAATCACCACAAAAACAACACGCACACCTTGATGAAGAAATACGTGGACGATCCTCCAAGAATCAGCAGCAAATTAGAGACGGCGTCTCCAATCACTCGCCAAAAACACAAACCAATTCTTAAAGCTTCTTGACAAGATCACACGAAATCACTCGTCGCCAAGGGAAGATACCCCGATTTTTGGTTTCTATTTCAACAGCCAAAAATAATCTCCCCATTACATGAGGAATGACCTCCTTATATTATTGTGCACGCAGGCACCGGTCGATGGAATAAGCCCGACTCTCTCCTGACTTTGAAACCGACTTGAACTCTAATACCCATCGTAACAAACTAACAACCGAGTACTTTGACCAAATAATAAGAGAGAGAAAAAACAAAAGACTCTTTTCTTATCTAACTAAACAAGACTTAACTAATTTAATGTCCGGCAAGCTGCAAACGTCCAAAACAAAACTAGTTTTCTCCTGTATGGTCAACAGTTCTTTCCTTGCATGCGCACGTAAATGTGTTTGCATGTTTGAAAAGTAGCTCGACGTCCTTTCGTGCATCAACATGAACAATGTCCAGTATAAATATGTGTAGACATCTGGTCCTTATGTACAAAATTGGCTCTCAATTCAACTCTTTCATTGTCGTTGCCACGCACAATAGTAGCTTCCTTCAGTTTCTTTTCCTCATTGTGTCTGGCAGGAATTACATACATTTCAGAATTTCCTGGACTGGCCTTGTTAATCATATTTTTAGGATCAGAAATAGGGTCACATCATCCTTCCTTCCTTGAAAGAAAACTGTTCTCGGTTTCGTCCTATACCTTGGAGATTTGTTCTTGAATATTTTAACAATACACTTTATATTCTTTGCATCCTTAGGAATAATAGCATAGAACTCACCCTTATGTATAAAAGTGTACCTATTTATTCACCCATGATGAACAGCATTAACATCATGCTGCCATGAACGCCCCAAAATAAAATGACAAACATGCAGTGGCATAACGTCGCATTCCACTTTATCTACGTAGCCATCAACATAAAAAGGGACCTTAACCCTATGAGTAACCTTCACTTTGCCCACATCATCGATCCACTTCATATAATATGGTTTTGGGTGCTCCCATGTTGGCAATGAAAGAGACTCCACCACATCCTTACTAATCATGTTGCTAGCACTGCCGCCGTCAATTATCAGTTTGCACACTTCTCCCTTGATGGTACATGCAGTTTGAGAAATACTCCGTCGCTGTCCTTGTTCAACAATGGTCTTGTCATCTCGCTGGACCTTATGTGCTAGCAAACTCTCCATATCAGGATTATCTTGAGGATAACATAGTATGGTATCACCATGACCTCTTTTAATTCCATCATCTAACTTAGGCGTCTCATCTTCAGATTCTGAAATATATTCCGCATCAAGAAGTAGAACCCTTGGTTGATTGGAACATTCATGCTTCATGTGT